TATTAAAAGTAAATTTAATTATTTAGCTCCTGATTAAAGATATATCAGTTCAATAAGAGCTCTTTTATATTTTCAATTAAGTAAAACTTTACATTCACTTTCACTTTGGACTTCTTCAAACTACCCTCGCATATACCTCCAGTTTGAAAGCCATTGCGTTTAAGTTCTTATCAACCTAGCATTTCGCTTATCACTTAGGTGTGCGTGGCACAGGCTATAAAGAGAGAGTCCCTTAAAATAAACATTCGGCCGATAAGCTATGTGGAGCACCTGTTCGACGCTGTCCCCCACATCAAAAAAAAGTAGGTGAGAAAATACTATAGCCTTTATCGCATGCCCTCCGCTCAATCCCCACCTGACCCCATCCAGGTGATGGGGCTTGTATCATCAAACATGGCAGGAATTTCTGAATCACACACTGGAGGAACCTCTACTGCAAGTCTCTCCATGCCGATTCATAAATAACGTATTTATCTAGTTAGAATAAAAAAGACAACAAGCGACGTTTCTTATCGGCATGCAATGAACAAAGGAAAAACAGAAAACAAAAAATAATAAAAAATAAAAGGAATTTTTTATGAATTTAGATATCGATTTACAAGTACAAATATTAACTTAAATATACATTTATAAAACAACAAAAACAACAACGAGAGATAACATTACGTAAGTACATGTCGAGCATGTACATTTGCGATATGATCGAGTATGCGGACAAGACATCTCGCACAGGCACAGTATAACAGTATAACAGTCGCTTGTATGCCACCCACACGAGTCGAGCTTACACCCACTGTCAGCCGGCATAGCTGCCTTGGGATCAGCTAGCTTTGGGGTATAGATCGTTGTTATACCCTGTAGCTAATACGTAGTGTTGGGGTATAACAGAATAAAGAAAGCAAAACTATTATACATTGCTTGGACTGAATGGGCTCAGGGTATAACAAGGGAATATATAATGATACTTCTACAAATATATCATAATTCAGGTTGCCATCTATTTATGTGAGGTTATGATAGATGAGCACAATATATATTTATCTCTTAGTTATGTATATATAGATAAAAAGTATGCATATGTATTTTTATATATCATGACCCCACATACATATACATACATATATGAATATGTATACATATTTATAAAAGAGCTCATTCAACATTTTCTTTACAATTGCAACATCTGCAGGAAAATCCCTACTCTGCGCTTCTCATGCACTTAAGGTTTATATGCCATCAATTGACTTTACTTTCTTGCCTTCTATCAATCTCTATTTACTATATTTTCTAACATTCTCAACACGTTTACAGGGTAGCTGCCGTTTGAGCCTTGACCTCATTTTGCTGCTACCTATTTTATTTCATTTAAAACGCCTCAAAACTTGTCATGTTCAGCTTAATCAAAAATTTAAACACTTCCGCAAGTGCAGCCAAGTGGAAATAGCAAACGTACATACATTGAAATTTGCACACACAAAAATACAAAAATAAACAAAAACATAAAAACACTACAACAACAACAACAACAATAAAAAACGAGCCCCAAACAATAAATGCAACACGATGATAATGTTAAAGATGACTGTGTGTCGGCAAACACAGTTATAAATTACTGCATGTCCGTGTGTATGTGTGTGGGCCAAGTGGCTGGGGTTACGAGCGGAATTGCCTCAAATATAAATTGCATTTGCGAAAAAATAGAAATATACACAAAAAAAACAACAACAAAATTCAAAGTCGAAGTCAGTTAGCAAATGCGGTTCAATGCCATCAAACTTGGAGCGCATTCAAAGAGAGTGAGAGGGAGAGAGAGAGAGAGAGAGAGAGGACGAA